CCCCCCCCCCCCCCCCCCCCCGCCCATCCCTGCCCTTCCCCCGCACTGGGATTCACCCGCCGGGCACTCTCCCCCCTCAGCCTGTTCAACCCCAGCACAGACTAGACATGGGGCGTCTCCCAGGTGCCCCCCACACCCACACCTGGGCCAGCTCCTGGACAGGCCCAATCCTGGCAGGTGAGTGGGGGGGCAGGACTGGGATAGGAAGGGGCTGCGGGTCGGGAGTGAGGGGCACCAGCAGAGCTGGGGGGTTCCCATTTCTGACGTCCTCCTGTCCTCCCCCCCGCAGTCTGTGTCCTGTTCTCCTGCCTCCCGCTGGCCGGCGCTGTTGATTTTGGGGTGGCAGTGGTGCCCCCCCACCCGACCGTGGGGCAGACGGTGACCCTGCTGGTGGGGGGGGCCCGGGGAGTCGCCCAGAGCTGCACCTGGTACCGCAGAAGCTCCACAGCCGAGACCGATCGGATCCTGACCTTCACCTCCCCGGACACGCGGAGCCCGGGGCCGGCGTCCACGGGGCGCGAGACCCTGGGGGGCGACTGCTCCCTGCGCATTGCGGGGTTAACCCCCCAGGACAACGGGAGCTTCACCCTCATCATCCGCGCCAGGGGTCGGTCCCACGCGCTCTTCGTGCGCCTGCAGCTCGCCGGTAAGAGCAAGAAGGGGCGCGGTGGGGCGGGGTGGGGGGCTCAGCAGGGGGCGCTGTGGGGCGGGGGGCTCAGCAGGGGGCGCCATGGGACGGGGTGGGGGGCTCAGCACAGAGCACTGTGGGTCAGGGTGGGGGTTCAGCAGGGGGCGCCATGGGGCAGGGAGCGGGGTGGGGGTGCTTGGTAGGGGGCGCCGTGGGGCAAGGGGGTTGGGCAGCAAGTTGCTCCATGGGGGGGGGGGGCTGTCTCCCACTTATGCTCTCTTTGTTCGCAGGGTGACCGGGCGGTGTCCGGATTCGCTGCCCCCCACCGAGAGGTCCTGGGGCTGTTACCGGATCCCAGCCCCCTCCCCCCAAATCCCCCTCACCGCCCTTCCCCCACCCCACCCCCTTTCTCCCCTCCCCCCTTCCCCAGGCCCCTCCCCCACTCCCCCCAACGTCCCTCCCCCAGACCCCTCCCAAATCTCCCTCCCCCCCAATAACCTCAATAAAAGCCTCAGCTGCCGCAGCCTGGAGTTTGTGTCGGGGGGGCAGGTAAATGGGGGGCTGGGGACAGGCCCCACCTGTAGAGGGGCCAGGTGCATGGGGGAGGTGGGGGGGTCTGTGTGATGGGTGGTCCCGGGTCTCTCTCCCCCCGCCGTCGCCGGGTCGCTCTTGACCCCCAGCAGGGAGCAGGTGACCCCCCTGCTCCAGGGGCACCGCAGAACCAGGGGGGCTGGAGACACCCAAAGGGGAACCTCCCCTATCGCCCCCTCCCACCCGCAGACAAGGTTGGGGGGGTGGATCGTAGAGGCCCCAGGTCCCAGCCTCGCGCCTCTGCACAAACTCCAGCCTGGGGGGGGGGGGG